CGTTAGCTGCAGGGTTCGAGTAATGTTCGTTCATTACATGATAAAATACCAAGGGTTCCTTTCCGGTTGATTATGATATTCACTTATATGGTCGTTAATACCATTAGTGCGTGAGTCAGTTGTCACTAAAGTCATAAGTACAGAGTGCAATAACATCTTGAGAAATCTGTTTAAAGAGTGCAGATTGTTCTTTCGATATAGGCGTGTCCCCAAAAGTGTCGGGTTTGTTCATCTGAATTTGTACCCACCGATGCTTGGAACTGTTGTATTCGTTGAGGTGTATTTTTTGCCATGTAAGCATTTCATTTTGTAAGGACACAGCTTTCAGGTTAAAATACTACAAGGAAGGGGACGGATGATGCTTTCCGCTTTATAGGAGCAATTGAGGCTGCCTTGTGCAAGTTCATAGTAATTTTTTTCTCAGCGGAATCGCATTGTAACCCTTTACCCTCCAGACGTAAATATTGCTCTTACTTCGATTCGTGGCCATTTCGAATGATCTGCTATGACTCTTCTTATAGATCTGTTACGGCTACAACCGCCGCACGGGATTACTACAGGATTCTGCAAATCCGACCAAATGCCAGTCCAGAAGAGGTCAAACAGGCTTTCATTGCCCTGTCCAAAAAGGTATATTGCAAAGCCGTTCTCCCAATCTTCCTTTGTGTAGTACCATCCTGACATGGCTGGGTCAGACCCGCAATCGCACACCAAATTTATCGAAATAAGCGAAGCCTTTTCGGTACTCGGAAAGGAGCAAAGCCGTCGTGAATATGATCTCCAGCGGAGGTTGAATGCTTTCGGTGCTAACGCAGAGGGATACAAAATGACCTACCCAAAGGTCGATCAGTCCATTGATCCTCAAGTTCTTGAATCGTACGATGTGGAGATGCATAGGTAAGCACCCCATAATGGTAACGCGTTTGCTTTTTGTCAGTGAATAGCTCAACCTTTTTGGGATAGATTTTCAGTGGATCTACACAACGCCTTTCCGTACTAGATTCGTGCCTACAGCTTTTCCATTTAAGTACTAGTCCGGACTCTCTTTCAGGGGGCGATACAGTCCGAGGCATTCCTTAATTTCAAGGGGTTTTAACAATCTTGTCCTGTAAGTGAGTAAATATCGAATTCAACTTATTTCTACCCTATTCCTTGCTTTTCCAAATGCAGGTCCTATGCTACTTTTTGTTGGCTAAATATGACGATTAGCCTGACTTCCAAAATTGAGAATTGATTTTAGGCAAGACGATTACAGACCAATTAGATATTCACGAGGTCTGGACGATGCCACATTGCCTCCGCTTCGAGGTAGATGTCATGCTTATAACCGTGAAAAACGGCACAATTTTTCTTATTAGAAGGACACAATTCTTCGTCATGGCGGTTCAGATCAGATAAAAAGTCCATTCACTTTCTGCTCATCTACACCGCATTTAACGCTCATTCCGATGTTGATAGGTTCTGTTAGTGTCAGTAATGTTTCGGATTTACAGTGAATTCCCTATCCCATGAAATGCAAGCTGAAATTCTGAAATGCGTTTTTGATTCGAACATATTATGGGTACGATATTTATTATCCTACAGTCTAATCTCAAAATATTTCAGCCACATTTAGATGCCGGCTTCTGAACGGGCTAACTTTTGACTACCCACAAAAAGCCTATTCTGTTACAGAGGACTACTTAAGTAGTATGCCTTTTTCTCGTTGACTTTCACGGCTCTAATACATTCAAATATAAGTTATAGAAAAATAAACGAAAATATTCTTTCTTGCACTCCTTTGGTAGCAAAATACGCCTTAAAATTGTATACTTGAAGAAAGGACATCTTTCAATTTTAAAAAGTTTCTAATTATGAAATTTTTATGACCGTTAATTTTAATTAATAAAACAACTTATGCGTCAATTTATCAGTGTTGTTTATAATATTAGAACCTGCTCCACATTCATAGCAGAATTTTATGAGAGTATATGACTTCTTCCTCACACCGTAGGGAAATATTTACTTATCCTAATACAGAGGGTATACAGCATGCATTTTGGAGACCTTGAATTCAAGCGTAACGGCCTTTAGGGTACAAAATTATTCAACAATTAAGAAACTTTTTTGAAACCACAAGATACCGCTCCTTTAAGTATAAAATTTGAAGAAGGCGTATTTTGCTACCAAACGATGGCAAGGAAGAATATTATTATTAATTTTTCTATAACCTATATTTGAATGTATTAGGGCAGTGAAATTCAACGAGAAAAGAGCACACTACTTAAGTAGCCATTTGTAACAGAATATGATTCTTGCTGATGGCCAAAAATAGCTACTTAGAAAGCTCGCATCCTGATGTGACTGAAATATATTCAGATTAGGTTGCATGGTAATCAATATTACAACCATACTTAATTAATACGTTTGAATCGAAAGCTGGCATTTCATGAGATAGGAAATTTGATATATTTATAATCAATGCGCTTGCCTGTGCGAAGAGCCTCTCTCTGTAACCTCATTTTTTAATGGAACAATGAGCCAAGGGCTCCTATCTGAAATTGTAAAATAGGAAGTCGAAATCCCAATAACTTTGAAGTGTCGCCTTTTGTAGTGGCTATCTGTTTGTGTTTGCTTGGAAGTAGAGTTCTGCCGATTTGGCAACTTTTTTTTCCAGAAATGCGCCCCTCGTGGTCGAGAATTCTTTTGGTATTTGAGCTTCTTGTTTTCAGGTTCATATATTAAAACATAGAGTTCACACTAACTTTTTGCGCAGGCGCTGGAATTCACGACTTAACCAGTGGGCCCGCGACCAAGGCGAATACGAGCTGGAACGTGGTATCCACATGAATCCAGTCAGCCCAGGACTCTCCGCATCTTACATATCCACGGAGGAGTCACGACACTTCACCTACATGCTGGTTGGCTTTGCTGCCTTTTGTGCCGCCATGACGTACCTGTATATGCAAATGTGAGTACCTTTTGTTTACTGGTCAGAAAAGGACGCGAGGCAACAGGAATAATTTTCAGCTTTTTAATTTCCTCATAAATTAATCCCTGTCCTCGGTATAGATCAGTATAACCAAGGTCTGTAGGCACAGATCAAAATTTAATGTAAATATTTGGGCCGAACTCCGTCAGCCGCTATGGGATAACCGCGTTACATACACGTGGCACCAACTGATAGCACAGGTACTAGATGAAAGTCCAGACACGTGTTTCGCCTATAGATCTTGAATATACTAATCTATGCCGAGAACATAAATTAAGCCCTAAGGGAATTAA